GACTTGTTCGGTTGTGATATCAGACATGAGGCAGATGTGCTGTATTTATATCCCTGTGTGTGTGTGTGTGTGTGTGTGTGCGTGCGTGCGTGCGTGCGTGCGTGCGTGCGTGTGTGTGTGTGTTTGTGTTACCTGGGAGAGATTTGGAGCCTGCTTTGGAGGTAAGGCCTCGTGCCCTGATCACCTCGACCTCCAGCTGGCCTTTCTTATCCATCAGACCGATCTGAACATCACCTGTTCACATGCACATATTTGACATGTAAAACAGAACCTGATAGTTGTAGTTTTCGTATTGCAAGTAGAGAAATGCAGGCTATGGAATTAGCAGTGGATTTGAGCTGTCACTCACCCATGGCAGGCGTGGCCAGTGTTTGTCGGCCCACCAGCTGACCGGGGCCTAACCCGTCCAGGAAGTCACTGAACTGACTGTCGGCCCCCAACCGCATACCTGAGAATATCAGACTGACACACGCACAGACACAAATGAATCAACAATTCCTACTTCGTCACTCAGAACCTGCACCATAATACCCGTTTTCCACTGAATTTAGTTCCGTTTTAGTTCCGTTTTGGGCTACTCGGGTGTGCAGTGGTTCAACTTGAAAACCACATAAGTCTGCTTCAAACAAGCTATATGTGAATAATACTCTCTAAGACATTATAATAATATCCTCTTTGAATGTATCATAATGGCACCAAAGACAGAGCTCCAATGCAAAAGCACTGCAACGACACTCCTACTACTATTAAAGTAGGAATTCTGAGAAAAGTCACATGTAAAAAAAGTCGGAATTCTTAGATTAAAGGCACTATTCTGAGAAAGAAAATCAAATACTAGCAAAAAGTCTGATTGCTTAGAATAAAGTCAGAATTCTAAGAAAAGTCAGGATTCTGATATTACACACATAATTCTTAGATAGAAGTCAGTATCCGGAGAATAAAGTCAGCTTTTTGAAAAAAAGGTTAAATTCCTTAAAAGCAGTAATTATTCTGAGATCAGAATACTGCATAATAGCGGACATTTTGAGAGAAAAAAACCTTCGCCTAGATTAAATTCAGAATTATACAAAAAAAAGTTTAAGAAAAAAGTCAAATTCTGAGATTTTTTTAAATTCTGAAATAATAGTCAGCATTCTGAAAGAAATCTCATCATTCTGAATCAGAGTCCTGAGAGTAACGTTACTATTCTGGGATCTCAAAAACAATTCCCATGCGGCCCTAATCCTTAACTTTGCTGTTTTTTGTCAAGTTCCTGTTTTCTTGTGCTTTCACAATAACGTTTCTAACATGTTTTCATACTATCTCAGACACTTTGTGCTTTAATACAGTCCTGACAACATGCGCTCTGTGTGTGTACGTACTTCCCCTCTGAGCTGTAGCTGTTCATGCTGCCGTCAGTGGACTCTCTGCTGGCCTGCCGGTTCATGGTGGACCCCCCCCGCGGGTACTCCACCGCCATGCCTGTCTCCACGCTCCTCTGGATGCTGCTGCTGGCACCCTTACCCACCTTTTTACCTGCTGGAGCTTTTGAGGCAGAAAGAGGTGTCAAACAATGAGACTTTGCATATGACATTTTATTAAAGGCTGTCTTAAGGCATCTCAGGTCTGCAATAGAATACTTATTTTCATCTTGGTCATTCTTTAATGATCAATTCTAGGTAGTGTCTGCCATGCCTGATAACTATAAGCATCAATATGCATCCCATGCAAATAAATACCCCATGGTGACCTCACCAACATTTCAAAGTGATAGATAATTACCATTTAGACGAAAGCTAAAAAACTTTTTTGTGTTCAAATTCATTTTAAAATAGGAGGGAATATCATTTAGGTGGGGAGGTCACTTCAGGAAGATAACGTGGCTTAGTCACTACCCCAATCTTAGTGTTTGGCAGGGATGGAAAAGGTAAAACTAAAGAAATCTTACAGTGAAAATTGGTATTCAAAGAGGGAGTTCAGATCTTCTTAGAAGCCTATCTTTTATCATGAAAACATAGCCAAGTCAAAAAGAAAATCAGTGTTTCAAAGTGAGTTATTTTTGGTTTGTTAAGTGATACAAATGTAAAGGCAAATATGACATGTGTGCTGCAACAGTTTTGAATTTTGATAAAATGATCTTGATATCAGGCTTCTTAAAGATCTGAATACTGTGGTGACAGAAGAGGGTGGAGTAAGGAAGCGTGGAGTAAGGAAGCGTGCCGGAGACAGAGTTCAGGAAGGAGGTCTCTCAGAGCTATTCTACAACTCTCTATATCCGGCAGTGGCTCAGTCAGTAGGGGCTTGGACTGGGAGATGTAGGGTCGCCGGTTCAAGTCACCCGAATAGACCTAAATATGGAGGTCCCTGTTCACCTCCTGCCCTGCCGAGCAAGGCACCGGACATCCCCCCCCACTCTCACTCCCATTGCTCCCCGGACGCTGTACAATAGCTGCCCAATGCTCCTAGTACTAGACTCCTGGTACTAGGATGGGTTAAAAGCAGAACACATGTCACTGTGTGCTCTGCATGTGTGACCATTACAGAGGGTTTCATCCCTCCCATTCTACTATATCTATCATTCTCTCTCTAAGGCTCTTTGTCTGCATCTCGATCCCCTAAAACTTTTAAAAGTGCATTGTGATGCTATCTTAACTGATTTCTAAATAAACATCAGTGAAGTCAAATTTAACAGCTGTTACATATGACTTTTTTTCCGAAATCTTAATTTTATCTGAGAATTCTAAACTTTTTTCTACAAATTCAGATTTTATTCTGAGAATTCAAATGTTTCTTTCCAATAATTCTGACTATCATCTGAGAATTCTGGCTTTTTTCTCAGAATTCTGAGATTAAAGTGAGAACTATGACTTTATTCTGAGAATTCTGACTTTAATCCGCAAGTCTTTTATTCTGAAATAAATCTCAGAATTCCGTTTTTTTCCCCAAAGAAATTCTGACTTAAATCTGAGAATTTGGACTTTTTTCTCAGTATTCTGACTTTAATATCAGAGCTCCAAAGTGAAAGTCAGTTTTTCACATTTGACACTAAACCTCTTCCGTACTTGCCTGTATTAAATTCATGAATATAAATCAGGGAAGTCACATTTAACTGCTGCTATGTACCACACCTAATCCTGCTACATAATACGCTACCATGCTTATCGCTCATGAACAAACAATACATGTCAAACTTCTGTCTGTCTGTCTGTCTGTCTGTCTGACTGACTATTGCTTTACCTTTCTGTCTTTCCACCGCCTTACCCGCCGCCTCTGAAATAACACACACAACAACAACAACAAAGCCAATAAACAACATCATCAGAAACAACAGCAACAGTGATATAAAGATGTAAATGGTGACAGTGTTAGTAACTTGTTAATGTGTATTTCTTTTCACAGTATGTAAATGTGTGTTTTGATATTAGAAATGCATTCATTGATGCATTTGTTTATCAAAAGCAACTCTTGAGGCAATCAGTGATACAAGTTAACATGTGACAGCTCTATGTGTGGAACCCAGAGTAATTTACTGCCTAGCAGTGCAACGTCAATGGACATTTAATTGTATTATATTGCAAAATCACTCGTTTTTCCCACATTTGTTGTATTAAATTGACCGGTCATTTCTGATATGTTCATGTGCAATACCAACTTTTATATTTAGTGGGTCGAGCAAAGCTCACACAGGGTCAGGGCCAGGTCAGGGGTCATATAGGTGAGACTCAGAAGATGTAAAGGCATCATTTATAAGACCTAGCTGACAGTATGCAGTGCTGTGTTTGTGATTTACAGAACGAACAAAGTAAATGGAATGTATTTTAAAGTTATGCACGCACTCCCTTTTGTGTCCAAGTGTGCAACATATATCATACAAGATTCAAGAGGGCTTTTATTTCATTTTTTAAAAATGATAAACATTTACTTATTCAGGGGGTTTGCACTGATGGTAATGCTCTTTTTTTCAAGAACATATTTACAAAGTAAGACATGAGGACGCTTCCCATACAATCACAGTCGATTTGCTGGTCACTGAGCAGATCATAGAGAGCAAACTAAATGACTGCCGTAGGATATCTGTTTTAGACTTTCAACAATACTTTTGACAAGGGTTGACGAGAAAAAGTGTGAAATGTAAAGGGTTAACTAGAAAATGCATTTCCTGCAGAAAATGCGTGCGAATGCTGTAAACTGTGAACATTTGTGGCTGAATTTAGCTGAAAATGCAGGCACGCATTTTCTGCAGGAAATGCATTTTCTAGTTAACCCTTTACATTTCNTTATGGCGGTCATTTTTGACCAGGAACACCATGGGTGTTAGAAAGTTGACTAAATCATCCAAAATTCAATGACAGTGGTGATCAGCAATTGTATACGTTCAAATGTCTACTGTGAAGGATATCATAAAGCCTTAATGCAATCGAATCTAAAACAAAAAAGTTATGATTGATGAAAGTAGTACATTGGTCAGATTTGACCCGAAAAAAACAGGAGGGTTAAGAATAATATACATTCCCTTTTTGGTGACTTTTATGGGGGAAAAAAATAGTTTTGTTATTTACTTCTATTATATAGTATCGACCCAGACAAGTACAATCCGAATCCCTATATATTGAACCAAATTCCGTATTAAAGGGAAGAAAACCGTAATGATCCTGCATTTTATAGTACAATACCCTCAGTTAAATTCTGGTGGAATTACAACATATGGAATTTTAACATTAAGTATAAAAAATAATGAGTGTTAACTCTTAGTAACACCTCACTATATCAGTTGAAACTACTTTGTCGCTCATTAATGAGTTCCCACAGAAGGGATAAAAAAACACATCACACTACTTCAACCAACTTTTTCTTTTAATTTAATGGTTGGAATAAATGAAAAACCTTTGTAGAACTTTCCAAAGCAAAACAAAGCGCCCGCTGTGAGCTTTGAGGTGATTTTCTTTTGGAAATGAATCAAGTGACCTCGAGAGCAAAAACAAAGCCTGACACAGTCCCAAAGATCCCTTCAAGGCTGATCAGTCCCTCTGTTTGAATGTTTTCATCTTCAGAGATAATTGTGCTGCTACACCACCAAAGAAAGTTACAGTTCTATGTATAGGCTCATCTTTAAATAGACTTGAGACAGACTGTCCTGTTGTAGTACAATATGGTTATTGTAACATTATGATTAGAGTAGTAAACCATAATCCAGACACCTACTTGGACATTTACTTATGAGTGTGTGTGCCATTTCCATCCAGCAGCTGAGGGACGTGGCAGGGAGAGGCAGCGGGAGTCAGCGTCTACCCTGGAGGTGCCGGACCAGCAGAGGATGCCCCCCCATCACATACGCTCCCGCTCGGTGTCCCCGCACCGTGAGGAGCAGGGACGCATCCGATCACGGCCCCCCAACGTTCCCGCCCAGAGGTGAGGAGGAAAGGATGACATGAGAGACAGAATTTAAACAGTTTTATTATCCAATGAAACATTCATTTGTTTGAGTTTGTTAAGGGATAATGTGCAGCAAGCTGTTCATGAATGGAATGGAACCTAACATAAAATGAGGGCATCACTGATCGCCAATAAGCGCCAATTCAGGTCCATAGCAAGATCGATAGATATAGACTTTATTCATCCCAACTTGGGAAATTGTTTTGTCACCCCAGCATTTTTTAAGTCTTTGCACTTGAATTAAACATAATATAAAATATAATCAAATACAAAATAAACAGCATACAGTATATCATTACATATACACAGAATACATATCTCAATAGAGTATCTAATTAACACACAATATAAAATGTACAGAATACTATTTGAATACATAGGGTACCTTATACATACAATTTTTTGCAAAGTAGCAGTTTTGTAATTATAATTTCATTTATATTGTTTAAAAAGTCTGCTATCCCCAGCAGCGGCCTGCTATCTAAAAAGAGCACACTGCTAAATGTTCAAAATCAGAATCTAGTATTCAACAAAAAAAATGTTTTAAGGTTGATTTATTAAATGCATAATCCAATTCTCTTCTGCTGATTTGTATCATTCAAACGGTCATATTCTATCCAAACACAAAACATATTTTGAACACTTTAAATACATTTAAACAGTTAGTCTTAAGAGGTGGGTGCCATGGCCTGTTGACTAATAATGGTTACAAAAATCTGCTTGATGGGAAGACATTGGTCACTCCTAAGAGGTAAAAGCAACATGGGAGGAAAGACAGAGTTTGTTGGAAGCCGTTGAACAGAGTCCATCTACTAATGAAAAGTCTGACACAGAACACACAGTGCTGCCAGCTCTGCTTTTACTGGCCCGGACAAATGAGCCGCGCCAAGACTCTGCTGCAAACCTCCTGACCACTAACCTTCCTTCCTTCCCTCCTTCCTCCTTGCTTCCTTCCTTCCTTGCTTCCTTGCCTCCTTCTTTTCAGGAGTCTGGATGATGAGCTTCCTCACACTCGTCGTTCTCGTTCTCCGACCCGTCACTACGACTCTGCCAGAGGTCGCCACCAGCAGGAGGAGTACCTGGATGACAGGTGAGACGACAGGTCGCTTGTGGGTCATTTAACGACACCAAATGTCATCAGAGTTGCTTGGTTGGCATATAAAATATAAATATTATCTACTTTTGACTGCTTCTTTTTGTGCAGTTTGAATGAGATAGCAGAGTTTTGTGCAAATCTGTGACCGCTGAATCTGTTTTCTACTTGAGTGTGAACTGCTGTAATGAGATTTGCTACAACTTTATTTAAAAAAAACAGTTCAAGTTCTCTTGTTTGCCATTTGAAAATAATTCACAATTTAATTTCTCTCACCTATCTTTTTTTTTCTTATTAAGTGCCTCAAAACTGCATTTGGTGCATTTGAGTGTAATTATGTATGTATTTACTTGAGCGTGTTGGGACAAATGGCTTTGTTTGGAAACAATTGCGGCGTTTCAGTGTGTCTTTGCGCAGGTGTGTGTGTGTGTGTGTGTGTGTGTGTGTGTGTGTGTGTGTGTGTGTGTGTGTGTGTGTGTGTGTGTGTGTGTGTGTGTGTGTGTGTGTGTGTGTGTGTGTGTGTGTGTGTGTGTGTGTGTGTGTGTGTGTGTGTGTGTGTGTGTGTTAGTGAGAGAGAGAGTGTGTGTGTGTGTGTGTGTGTGTGTGTGTGTGTGTGTGTGTGTGTGTGTGTGTGTGTGTGTGTGTGTGTGTGTGTGTGTGTGTGTGTGTGTGTGTGTGAGAGAGAGAGAGAGGGAGGGAGTGAGAGAGAGTGTGTGTGTGTGTGTAGTAGTAGTAGTAGTAGTAGTAGTAGTAGTAGTAGTAGTCGTGTCGTGTGTGTTGTGTCGTGTGTGTGTGTGTGTGTGTGTGTGTGTGTGTGTGTGTGTGTGTGTGTGTGTGTGTGTGTGTGTGTGTGTGTGTGTGTGTGTGTGTGTGTGTGTGTGTGTGTGTGTGTGTGTGTGTGTGTGTGTGTGTGTGTGTGTGTGTGTGCGCATGTTGGGTTTATAGCAATCTGGGCAGGGTCTTTCCTATTCACCCTCTTCTCATTGTGCTCTTCTTGTTTTTTTTGACTGTTGTTGATTTTGTTTCATCCATTCCCATGGTAACCACAGTGAGGTCATCATGATCCACCAGTCAATGCGAGGCAAAAGTGCTGAGTGCCTCCACACCAGGTAAACTGGCCAATCACGACATGTTGTTTATATTCAGGGTTCTGGATCACATGGATGTTGTAGTGCGTAGTGTGTCAGACTGTCTCTCTGTGCAATTGACTTAAAAAACAGGGGTTGAATCCATCACTTACAATCCTATTTAGAAAGGGATTAAAGAGTGTGAACATATCCAACTTTAAGCAAAGCTTTTACTTTGTTGTAAGTGCAAATTGTTTGTCATTTCAAATGTGCATTTAACAAAACAAGTTACATTAAACACGATGGTAATAGACAATATTTGTATTATATTCAACAAATAGCATTAAATCCACAAATTAGTTCCTTCTATCCCACACTACTGTAACACTCAACTTCCCTGCCTGTGGTTCTTAACCCTAAATACATTTTGATTCCCACTGAAAGTGATAATCTTTAAAAATTAGGCAGGACGCTTTGAATTAATTTTTTTAAATCCAAAAATATCCAATTTTTTGCCGACATTACTTCAACAGGAAGAAAAAAAATCTGTATTTGAGGCAGAGGGATGGTGTATGTGGAACATATTTTAATAAAGTGCGTGATCGTGTTAATAAAGGACGTTGTCTCACAGTTGGAGCTCAATGCACAGAGTAATCTACTCTGGGATAATGAAGAAAAAAAATAGGGACATCAAGTAAAACATCAGTGATGGGCAAATAGTCATGGAAACAATCCTTAACAGCTTAACAAACTAAAAACATGTAGGTAAATGAAAAAATGCACTTAAATAGTAGGACATCATTGTTTGCTTTTATTTATTTGTGCGTGCCCGACATGACACATATCACATGACCCTGAAAATAATTTTTAACTTATAATCAAAATGCTGAGGAAGCTTTTTAGAATACCGACCAATTCCATTGACTTCTATTTAAAGTGAGCTGGACTGTCAATGTTTTTTACTCTTACTTAACATGCATTATGGTATGGATGCACTCACAATACATGTCAGTGGAATACACATTGTTGACAGTAAGACAAATATATAACATGATCACTGACTTGACAATGACTCATCATTTTCCCCATAATTTTGGGCCATGTGGAAAATGTGAGGAATAAGGAAGCACAGATTGTACTGTCACTTTAACGAAGCGTTATTTGGGGCAATGAAATACAGTTAGATCACATTGAGCTAGTTGTTTAGTTGTATTGCTGCCTCAGATCCACAAGAGGACACTACAGGACCATGCTTTTGCATTCCAACTGTGTCTCATCCTTGGCATGCTGCTATTCCCTCTGAAGGGCTGCAATCTGTTCCCATAACGTAATACAGTTTGAGATATAAAGACTTGTCATTTAATATTTGGGTATACGTACGTGGGTTTGACGTGTGTTTTGAGCACACAGTGAAAGAGGTAAGTTACACGCTTAAGAACACATCCTTATGTCTCATTAGAAGCGTCCACTTAAGCGTCCACTTATAAGACCATACCTCTCAGATTTGTATACCAGAGGTGGAAGAAGTACTCAAATCATTGACTTTATTAAAAGTAGAAATACTAAGGTGTAAAAATGCTCTATTACAAGTAAAATTCCTGCATTTAAAATGTAAGTAAAAGTACAAAAGTTTAAGCATCACTATACTGTATATACTATAAAAGTAATATTATGCAGGGGGGCTCATTTAAGGATCATGTATTTTAAATGATTGTATTATAATTATTGATACATTAATGTGTTCATCAATTCAAGTAAAAGTGGGGTTTATTGGAATAACTCATTCTGGGTGTCTTAACTTATAATAATATATGAACAGATACCGCAATTTTTTTACCTACTATAGTAATTGAGTAAATAAACCTGTTACATTCCACCACTTTTCTACACACACTGATGTGTTAAAAGGAGGTGTGTGTTTTTAAGTGTGTCAGTAGAGATGAGTCAACTTTTGATGCTTGTATGCTGTCATGTAGTGCTGTAGCTGCACTCGCTTACACTGCAAAAACCTACAAGCTTAGCCAGTGATTTTGCAAGAAATGCACTGTTAAGAAACATATCAGACGACTGTGAAATAATAATAAACGTACCTTAAAAAAAGCTTTACAACATAATGCGTAAAATCACTGGATAAGCTGGCACCTTTTTGACCTACAAAACGTTCTATCTGTGCAAACAGTTCCACAGACGTGTTTTCTTTCTCCTCTTCCATCCATTCCTTCCACTTTCCCACTTCTGTCTGCTGCATGCATGCTAACACCAGAAGATCTACTAGGCACAATAACACACTGCCACCTAGGATGCCCCTTATGTTCAACGGCATCCACAAATGCACCAACAGGTAAGTCCATAGGCGTGGGTTCAGTATGCTTCAAACAAACAAAGTGCACATAACATGTTTTGCTCTGTGTTCCTATCTCAACATTGTCTTTAAACAATCTCCTTAATGTTATTTAAAAAGGAGCAAGATAATAGGATGATGTTTCACCAGCCTTAAATATTTAAAGTTAAATCCCGTTTTCTTCGTCAGTTCGGCAAGCCAGACAAGAACTACAAATACTAGTAATAGCCATGCATCTTTGGAACCATGCTGATACAACAAACAATATATGTATATCTAAAGCTGACCCAGAGAGACCTAACCTCAAGCAACAGCAACTAAATCTGTCCATGGAAAAATGAATGAGACTTTTACTTCCAGGACCAGAGCTGCCTGATGCTTTGTCTCATGGAACCAATTGAGAAGCCGTCATGGGAAACTGTTTAAAAATGGGCAGCAACCTTCAAAATAATACTTAGCAGGGATTGGATTGACCATTCGCCAATCAGGTCTATCATAGTCTCACTTCGCCAAAATCAAATTTGGCGGTGGCCTTTAAGATGTTCTTTTCCACATAAACCATGTCCTGGGCTGCGAGTAGCTCATAACAGGATTCTGTTGGTTTAAAACACTGTTGGTATATTACTTGAAGCCTGGCAAGATGCATTCTTTCATGTGATCTTATGATAGTACCATATATGGTAACCCAAAGATAATTCCTTCCAAAACATCTGCCATTATTGCCTTTTGTCCAGCCCAATCTCTCTATTAGATTTGACTTAGGGAAATAAGGTTAACTGGGCACACTTTTGGACAGTTGCTTCTCAAAGGAACAGTGCATGATCTGAAAGAACACACACAGTAGTGGCGAGGGAGGCTGTGGCGCAGTGGACTAGTGCGTTGGTGTTCGCACAGGTTCAAAACCCGCTGCGGTCAGCATGTCGTTGTGTCCCTAGGCAAGACACTTCATCCCAAATTGCTCCTGTCGGGCATCTAACAAGTAACATGTAATGTAATGGTGACAGGTGTACATTAGTTGTCAAAGGAAGATCAAACCCTTCCAATATCCTGTTTTCAACACCAACGTTTCTGCAAGCACATTGTCTGAAGCATACTGAGTCCTTTATACATTTTGTGGTGCCAGTGTGATTTTGTCCTATACCTGTGGAGAAGCACGTAATGATGTTGTCGTAGTAAATGTAAATCATCTCCAACATTAGAGTTAGCGTATCTGCTTACATCTGGGGACTTCCTTTTATGTGAGTATGTTCTGCAACAGCAGGAGCTTCACAGATCAGATTACAATCCACGCTTTCTTTGCTTTATTTTGTTTCATTTGATAATGCATGCTGTTATTGAAATCTTCGTTTTGTGACTAGTTCCACGCTGCCTGCATGTCGAAAGATAAGCTCTGTTGTGGGATCGCACATGTTCATGGCAACACGCAGCTCCATTACTCAGCGCGTTGTAATGTTCACAGATGAGGTGACCATTAGGTAAGACACACACATACATGCGTACAGATTATAATTGAATGGGTAGCCATTTAAGTGTAAGCCATGCCAGGCTGTAGAAAAGTTATTTGCAATCAAAATCCAAGTTTCCACTTTACCCCAGCATCACGACTTACGCCAGCCATGGTTTTATCCAAGCATTATGATTTTGGGACCCTAACAAGATTTATTTTAATACATTTATTTCTGTTTGTCCATTGTTTTTCTCTTTGTGTTTGTTTCTGTCCTCTCCTCCTGTCTCCTCCTCCATTGGATGGCATGTTGTGCTGTCGTGCCTCTAGTGATCTGCAGCCTTCTCTGGACAGGGTTAGGAGCGCTAGCGCCAACTGTCTGACTCCAGACAATCATGCCCCCTCACCAGAGACTGAAAGGTACCAGCCTCTGTCCCCCCCCCACACACACACTCCTGTAGTGCTCCAGTCGATCTTCTACCTTTCCTGGTCTCTCTAATTATTTTCCATCCGAGTTGTCCAACTATAACTGAAGATTAAGCTTCCCCCTTACTCACGCTACCAAGACCCCATGGCTGTACAGAAATCTGGCCTAGTCCAGACTCACACAGGTATATATTTTTTCCATATTTTGTCCATCTTTCTCCAAAAAAACCCTGTCAACTAGAAGCAGCACTATTTTTGCCACGTCCATTAACACGATAAATATTGGCTTATTTGGACACCTCAAAAACAAGATGTCACTTCATCTCATTTCATGTTACAGGCCAAGAACTCTGATTTCCCTTTCTACAAGTCAACAATAAAATCAGTTTCTGAAAATGTAACCCTGGCAGAAGTTCTACAAAAGCTCTATTTTCAGTAACCTAAAAGGCAATTTCTGAGTGCGAGGAAAACGAAAAAACATTGACATTTCTTTTTGAAATACCTTATGTGTGGACTACGCCTGTTATTCCAATCTGGTGTTTCATCCTGAAGCTCCCATGTTTTGCCACAATGTCGTCTATGAAGGTGCAACGATGAATTAGCAGATTTATAAGAACATTACATTTTGTATTTAGAATTACTCTTCTCTCGAGAGAATTTCAAATCTTCTTATCATTGAAGAAACACTATCAAGAAATGTTGTTCCATTAATGATTTTCCCCCATGACAACAGAGTCGGTGCAACTCTTCTTGTACACTTTAACTAATGACTGTATCTCAAGAGGTATCACTTCACCAACCAGCCTACTACATGCTGCTTAGTTTTACACTGTCCAGGCCTTCAGTGGAATCCCCCTTTCACCACTGTGTCTACATTGTGAGCTTCACCTCTTAATAATAACAACCTGGATAACTATTTCCAGTGTCTTTTTCAAGCAACTGTAAATGAACGCTCTCCTGCTCAACCATTATCCACAATGTCATTATAATACCTTGAAGGAAATGCTTGAATTTATCAAAGTTTATTATATGACAATCATCACATGCTTTATGTATGACAGAGTTGTTCATCCCTGCAATCATCCATCCTGTCCACACTAGCCAGGAAGTGATACATTTGTAGTGTGACTACAGTGTAGAAGATGTTGCTCAAAAATCGTATTTCTATCCTCCGTTCATCTTCATCCTGGACATTGCATGTAGGTTTTCTGATGTTTTTTTTTCTGGCAACAAATCTACATGCAACTGCCAGGACAGTTTTTTAATGTTTCTGGATCAACAGGAAAAGACATACAACAAATGTTTGCACTAAGATTTAACTGTGTTGGATCAGTTATTTCCTGTGAATATCCTTGAAGAGTTGGTGGATACCAACACCGAACTGCAAGGGAAGGGAATGTTGGACTTTTATTGATTATGTGGACAAAACTCTAAATGCAAGCTAATATTGCTCCATGTCTGCAGGGTGTATAAATAGGCATATGTTTGCTAACACGTTCATTATTTTCACTTTATAAGGTGATTGTAAGTCAGTATTTTGCTGCCCCCTGGTTGCCAAAAAATAAGGGCACCCATGTCAGACACAAAAATACTTTACTTCATACCCAGTAATGAAATGGCATGGATTTCAGATGTTCTAATGGCTTTCTGATTTGGTCATATGGTTGATATATTTTGTATGTGTACATGTAGAAAATCGTTTTCCCATTCCCTGCCCCGGAGACGTCCAGCGAGTCCCAGGATTCTTATCCAACATGCTTCCCCTGAAGATGACAGGTACCCTTTTGTGGACCGCAGCCGCTTCCTCTTAGAGCTTGACTAATGCCTAAAAATCTGATGCCAATTTTGAACCAAACCCAAGTGTTTTTATGAATTACGATTAAAGGATAATTTCTTATTACATGGCAAATAACCGTTTAGTTTTGTCACCAATTCCTAATTATTTTTTTTCAGTAGGGTTAGGGTTAACCCTATCCTCTAGGCTTAGCATTATTAGGTTTAGGCAGATGTCAAGCTCTACCTCGTATTTGCAGCTAGCGCTAATCTCTTTGCTGCGTTTTCACATTTCTGATTAGCTGGTTGTGAATTGGCACCCTTACATTTTCCAATCTTTCTACTCTTCTCAAAATGTAGTGAGTGACATTATCTTGTATCATATCTCATAGAGCTAATAAATTAATACCTCATTTTGGTTGGATTTCATTACTTAAGGAAAGTGGCTGATTTTCAAATTTTTGAATGCTTTCAAAGGAATAGTTTGACTTTTTTGCTTGTTCACTTATTAGTGAACATTATAAGTTTCATACCACTCTTATATTTGTTTGTTAAATATGAAGGAACAGCCAGGAGAAAGTTAGCCACATTAGCATAAAGACAACACAATTATTAATCAACTAGCCTGGATCCTTTAAAGGTAAGCATTAATAAACAAAACATATCGTGCTACCTGGTAATCTTTGGAAGAACTTTTGGGTAGATATTGTCACCTGGAACATGACTATCACGTTTACTCGAATTAACGCTAGGCTAAGCTAATATCGCTTAGCTTTAGCGTCATATTTAAAAAATATACACTGGTGGTATCAATCTTCTCATCTAAGTCTCGCCAGAAAGCCAAAAAACTCTCAAACTATTACTACTTGAACTCGCTCAGGGGCCATACACGTGCAGCACTCTAGGCGGGCTCATTTCGGTTTTCACATTGTTTTTCCAAATACAAGATAATATCACAAGCTACTCTTAACTATTTTCGCAATTTAGCTTCCTGTCGCAACGCCAAAACTTCTGGTTTGTGGTTCATTAGCAGGACACAGTGAAAGTGACCACGATATGCAATGTTGTAAACAAGCTTTGTTTCATACTTTGTCACTCGCATTGTGCAATGGTTGCTTGTATTTCTTGGTTTTTCTGCTCGTGGGTGTTGTTTATCTGGTTTGTGATTTGTTGCAGAGTTCTAGCCAAGGTTTTCGTCCCTGGTTGTGGTTGTTGTTGCCGAAGCTTTGTCATGTTGTTTTTCTATGCTGCCTTTGAGATTTTGGTTACTGGCTCTTCTCTTCTGAACGTAGTAGATTGTACTGGTTATTGTGTTGAATCCCGCCTTGTTAAGTTTGCTTCCTCTCTACGGGTGTACTTTTTGTCCTAGGAATTGCATCTGCAGCTTCTTAGTGCTCGTTTTTCTCTCGGTCTTTAAGTCACACTTTTTCAAGGCTTAGTGCTCAGCAATGAACTCATGATGTCCATAATTCATATGAGAAGTGTGTGTGTGTGTGTGTGTGTGTGTGTGTGTGTGTGTGTGTGTGTGTGTGTGTGTGTGTGTGTGTGTGTGTGTGTGTGTGTGTGTGTGTGTGTGTGTGTGTGTGTTGGTGCATGTATCATCCTTGTCATCTTCTCTTCATGTCCATGACTGGAGAATATGGAAGCTATTTCCTACTCAAGAGACTTTAATTCACCTCAGTACAAAGAAGAGGTACACACTCACTGACATGCACACACACACAGGCACAGTTACAGATGAAGCACGAGTGTGTGACACCTCTTATTCATATCACAATCACACCATCCATCACAGCATGCCTCCTATTTCCTGTTTTCCAGATCATAAACTTGTAAGGCCAATGACAGCCCCCTGACAGAGTCTGACTCCTCTAAATCTAAATGATGTATCCTCCATCAGGCTCTCTGCCATCCTCTCATCCATCCATCCATAATTTTTTTTCCTTTTGTGTATTGTTCCCTTTCCTCATCCACCATTCTCCAGGCAGCCTCGGACCCTGGAGACATCCGAGTGTAACACTCTTGGCAGGAATCTCCCTATCAGTGGCAGGTAAGACATGTACTGTAGGCTCAGCACATGTCAAACATTAGTGTAGCAGGGCATTGACGGGAGCCTGAAATTACACGACCAACAAGAAAATAATTTTAAATAAGTATATGGTAGCCTTTCAAAACAGCAAAAAGTATGTTATTAAAATGGCAGTTTAACCCCAAAATCAAAAATAGAGCAGAAATGTAATACACATATTCTTCCCATAACCTGAATGCTATTCATCAGTCTAGATTGGCTTGGTGTGAGTTGCTGAGCGTTTTAGATGTCAGCTTCTCTTCAATATGATAAAACTAAATGCCTCTCAGCTTCTCTGCCCGAAACGCCCAACATTTGACACATTTTAAAAACTCAACAGCAATGTCTCCTCTAAATTCGTCTTCTACTACCCCCAGAAAAGTAGAAGTAAGCGTGCTCCTGCTCAGCTAGCTAACATTGCAGCTTAGTCAAGAAAGACGCCATTGATGTTACATTTGGTACTGTAACAAGCCTCTCCTCTATTAAAAGATGCTTCTTTCTTCCAAGTGTTTTTGTAGAAACTAAACAGTTGTTTTTTTGGGTAAACAGTTCATGGTTTCTGGAAAGTTCCACACAACTTTTTAGAGAGAGACGCTGTCTGAAATTGCTTACCTTTGTACTTACAATTTAAGGTATGGCCAAATGCAGTGCATTACTAGTACCGGGATGATGCTTTCAAAAAGTTAAATGTGGATTGCTGAACAATTCTAACTCTCAACAACTGCCATCTTGGCTATGTAAAGGAAGTTAGGCGACCAGCTGTGATTGGTTGCTCCAGTAAACACAACACTATACAAATAAAAGTTATATATGTGAGTTTATTTCACTATTAACACACACCCCTAGCGCTCATGCACCTCTATACTGGTATTGAAAAGAAGCCGCCGTTAATTTTATAGCTTAACGATCGTGGCTAGCTAGCCAGCTAGCTAACAGCGGTGATAGTCAGTTCCGGTGAGGGCAAAGCAGCCATGTGCGAAATGTATTGGCAATCCATCCATTAGTCATCAAGACATTTCACTTGAATGTCACATGATTCGGATGACTTTTTTTATTTATGTGTTCTGTCGCTTTTTTGTCTCCTCGATCCCATCTTTCTTCCCCTGCATGCTGCTGCTTCTACACTGTATTACGGGGCTTTGGGTTTGTATGGCATTTGTGTGAATGTGGGTGTGTGTGTGTTTGTATGCGTTTACAAGAATACAGCCCACATCCATCTTAAGGGTCTCCAGAGGAAAGAAGGCCCCACTGCTACCCCTTGGTAAGGGGTTCCCCTTGAACTGTTGCCCTGAGTCTAACCCACTGACACAGAGGCAGCTGATAGTAGACACTGTGGTGGAGAGGAACCAGACATGGCTGCTCTCTCATTCATTCATACGATTACCTGTTTGTGTTTGTGTGTGTTTCTGTCTTTGCCACATCACAGCCTCGGGCTCTGCTGCTTGTTTATTATTTTGTATGTGTGGGGTTTTACTCTCAAAGTCTAGTCATTTCTGAGCTGTTAGGTAAGTGTTGTGTTTTCGCTAAGTCCCTGTTTTTAATATTTTGGTTTGTTTCAATATTCCTCATATATCCTCAAACAACATTATGATTTTTTTTAACATAATTCATATATTTGCAGCAGTAATTACATTTTCTATCCTATTATGTGTAAACCGCCAATTTTGAAAGTATGTTTGTTAAAATAGTGCTGTTGGTGCGTCGAAATTAAGTTGGAAGAAAAAGACTAATTATACATTTTTCAAGAACATGCAGTTGATATGATTGGAGCAATGTGTTACATTTTTTTTTACTTTTTATAGACTGAACTATGGGACAGGTTTTCTGAACAACCCTTGTTCTTGAGTGTGCAGTGTGAACGGCACACAGTGGCCGTTTCTCAATCGCGAGGATGCTTGCTTGGTAGCACATGTCTTCCGAGTCACTTCCTTCAGAAGCTAGGCAAGAATCCTTCCTGGCATTCGGAAAACTACGAGTGGAACAGGCTAGCAAGTGTGCAGGTGTGCGTCATATGAGAGGCCCCGCCTTACATTTTCCGCCACAGATTTGGGGAAATTGGTCCGTGCGCAAAGCGTTGTGGGGATTTGAAGGACGCGAAGTCTACCCATGTGCAGCCTCGAAATTACCCCCAAACCAAGGACGCGGCCTCGGTGGAATTCAAAGTATGCTGGAGATTGGAACAGTCCTTCGGCAGCACTCGATGACGTAGTATCCTTGAAATATTGGCTTGGAAGCCAGTTTCCTCGCAATTGAGAAACGGCCAGTGAATGGATGTGTGCAGAGATGGTGGGATTTGTTCTGGAAGGCTTTCAACTTTGCTCTGTGTTCTTCCACTGTGTCAATCTTTATTTGCTGCTCTTTCTGCAACAGAATCCCTCACTGTCAAATTGAGGGAGTTTCAGTTGAATATGTTGTTGCTCGTAAAACTATTTTAGCAGTTCTTTTTGGTCCTAGTCACATTCTGTATCTAAACATCCTAAGACAGCAGGTTCCATCAGTTTACAGCTGTTTGCTCAGCTTTTGTTCTTTTTTTCTGGTGAAGTTCAAACAAGTGTAATGTCAAAAATGATGCTGTCCGTATAGAACTCAAAACATTTGAACTCCGACCTGCCTTGTACCACAGTGTTCACCCTTTATATTAACATTAAGTTGATTTTCTCTCTCCTTTTTTCATTATTTTTGTCCTTGCTTTGGTTCATTCTCCATCTCTCCCCTATCTCCATCTCTCTCCATCTCTCCCACCTTCTGTATGCTTTGCCTTCACGTTATTTTGTGTTAGGGGGCATCTCCAAGGTGGTGCGTCTCTCTCTTCCTCAGTGACGTCCTCCTCAGCCCGCAGAGTACGGCAGCTCCCACAGCTCCCCCCTAAGAGCAGCAGCGTAGAACAAGGTATAGTGCTTTTATGTGTGTAAAACTGTATAAGTCTAAGTGCCGGATAATTTGTACATCATCTTGTAAAGCGTTGACAATGACACACAATGTGCAGGTACGTATTTGTTATCCAGCCTTGGTGGCAGTTAAGCAAATGGCAGGCCACGGCTTTTAACATTAGATTACAATCATATTTAGAATAACTGTACTATGAAAGAGAATCAGGGCCACATGTGAAATTAAACTCAGAATACTGACTTTTTTTCTGGATGGCAACTTTAAACTAAGAATTCAGAATTTTTGTCATAATTCCAACTTTAAATTCAGAATTCAGAGAAAATATTATTTTGTCTTTTTCTGTCTTTCTCAGAAATATGACTGTCTTTCTGAATTCCAACTTTAAACTCAGAATTTTTAAAAGAAATGTCAGCATTCCATCTTTCAAATCAGAATTCAGAGATAAAAGAATTATGACTTTTACTATCATTTTTCTCAGAATTCAGACCTTAAACTCAAAACAATTATTCACTTTTGGTCAGATCTCAAAAGAAAGTTTGCATGTGGCCATAATCTTTTTAAGTATCTAAAATCTGTAAGGTTCCTGCATTTAATTTGGTCCCATTTGCTCGATGCTACCTACTAACTTGCTAGCTACTGTAGCATCTGCAAATGACTTTATTACTTACCATAACTTTATGAGCTGATGTTATGAAGCAGCCCCAACAGAACCATGCTGTGTAATCAATGAACAGCTAGCTGGCTAACCTAATCTTGGTTTAGTTTACTGTTAGCTATTATGCCGCTACTGCCTAGTATCGCTCTTTTGCTTTGTACGGTTACTGTTGGCTAAAATACTGTTTGTGATAAAAACACATGCTTGTTGTATCATGGATAAAGTTAGCTACCGAATCAATTTAACAAGCTAGCCAGTTAACGTATCCCCCTCAGACAGTATTTAGCTTTGTTAGCTGCACACTTGTGGCGCTGTATGGGGAGCTGAAGATCATTCTAGGCATTAAAATCACATCCTTTGGAGATTACAGGCTAAAAAGTCCCAACTCATACACAGAAATCAGTCCACAGGCTGATAAGCAACCAAGCTTTTTCAGGACGGACTGTTTAAGTTCTGCTTACAGGGCTATTTTACAGTGCAGTGTCTGTTTGAGTTTATTGAGTTTGTTCTTATTTCATAGTCCTGGTAGCAGAGGAGTGTGTTCGACAGCTCCAGATGAGGGTTCATTCCAACCGGGTGTCAGCTGCCACCACCTCCAGCCAACAGGACCTGGACCGATCCCTCAAGAACAAACGGGAGGTGGGCCACCATTTTGCTTTATCACTCTAAAAGCAACTCATCAGGGGAATGGATGGGGACAATAAGGGTTCCAGGCAGTGAGCTTCAGCTGTAATGTTGCTGAAGTGCATCGCAGTGAATTGCATTTACTGTCTGAGTCATAAATTATCTCACAGTTATGGGGAAGACCACTCAACGAAACACATTGGTTCCAAGTGGGTAGTCCCTTAAGAATGCAGAAGTGTATAATCCATACTTGCTGGTTTCCTTTCTCTAATTTACTGTATAGCAAACTAACAGTGTAATGGCAATATCGTGACTTTCAAACATTTGCATGCGAGTGGTTTCACTTTTTTGTATGCGTCGTGTCAGTGCTGTCTTACTACAGTAGGCTATTACAACTGTCAGCACAAATGGACTGAACATGTCAGGGATGAATGGATGGCTGATAAAGATCTACAATAGCTTTCTGTTGTAAAATCCAAATGTTTGCGTTACAGGGTTTGTCTCATATAAATATCACGTAAGAAGAAAACAGTTTTGCATTTGGAACTAAAAATCTACTGGGCTGCGGTCCAAGAACCGCACACTTTATTTGCAGGGTTATGAAACTGAGGTGGGATTGACATGAGCAATAACAGTTCATGGCGAGTACGGTGAAGAGAAGGGCGTTTTTACAAGCAGTAGAGCTGATTACCCAGGTGTACAAAGACAGTATACATACAGTATATGTTTCCTCCATACTTTTAATGAAAACTGAACTGACCGTTCGGAACAGCAGCACAAGCCCTTTTTCTGTTGTTATTTTGATACTGGTGTAATCAATAAATATAATTGTCGTATCAGATTATCACAAGTAAGATCAAAGTGAAAAATATACAGGTAAAATAAGCCAGTAGAGAACTCCAATTGCCACACTGGTAGCAACAAGGCTGGAAATCTTGTTATTGATTTGTCCTTTGGTGGCTTTGCTAACATCATCCATCAAATATGAGAGAAACTTATTTGCTACAGTATAATGTCAAACATTGTACTTCAACTGAACCAGAAAATATAGATTTTTCGGGAAACATGCATCTGGGGACTTTGGTTCTGCGACAGTCAGGCACTGAATTAATACTTTAAACCTGCAGCTGTCATTAGAAAACGGTAGGATTAACGCTGGTGGACCACCAGCGGCGTCCCACTCCAGAACTAGAACGGAACTCATTTCAGTGGAAAAGGGGTGTGAGTTTCCTGACAGTTTGTCTATTTAATTGATTCTTCGTGCATGTATTTGAGTATCTTGTGCTAGCAGCATTTAGCATCATTTGTGTTTCCTGCAGCTCTACAAGGACCAGAGGAGGAGCAGTGAGAACCTTTCCCATAAGTCCTCAGACAGTGATGTCAGCGACGTGTCAGCCATCTCTCGAACCAGCAGTGCCTCTCGCATCAGTAGCACCAGCTACATGTCCATCCAGTCAGAGAGACCACGGGGGCGCTTCAGGTGCGCACACCTTCTCACTCACCAGGGACCTGTGTTTGAAAAGAGACTTTATCTGATAGAAAAGATGCTGGCAAGGCTATGGGACAACTTATTACTGATGGCTGCTCAAACAAATGAGCTTTCCCTTCTTTCTTATAACTTTCTTTCTGAAAGACACGTCCAATCACACGCTTCTCCTCCAAGTTAAGTCGCTAGCGCTTTTCTAAAAAGTTGAGATATTTTCAACTCGGAGCAGCTTCTGTAAAAAGGCAAAGCGTTCAGAAAAAGTAGTTTAAAGGCAGAACATTTTCTCGAACCAATTTCATACGACAGCATAAGCTCACTCACAAAAAAGGCACACAGGCCCTTAGATTCTAACTTTTCTTTTTGTGTGGTCTTACTTATGTTAACTTTAATTAATTCACATAAAATTAACTTATTTTTGGCTGACATGTAATGATCAGCAGGGCCATGCGGGCATCGGGCCGCCACATGATGAAGAGCACCAGCGTGAGCGGAGAGATCTACGGCATGGACCACGCCGACGGCAGCCAATCAGACACGGCGCTCGGGAGCCTGGGGAGCGGGCTCAAGAAGCGGCGTTCGAGCCTCAGCCAACGTGTTGTCGCCATCCTGCCATCCAGACGCAGCCGCAGCACCTCGCAGCTCAGCCAGACAGGTGAGAGCACTTAGACTAATGCCTGCAGAAACAAATAACATACAATAAAAGATATTGTACAGCAGAAACAGGTCAACTTTATCCTGCCTAGCATAAACTACATTACACCACCAAGCTGTTTCTATTTCAAAGAATCATCACCACTATAATAGTAAGGACATTATTGTGCTTACCGTAAATAAGTAATACAAGTAGCCAAGAAGATTGGCAACCTCTAATAACATCTATTTTTGTTTTATTTCTTTGCCTTTGGAAGAAGACAGACGAACACAAAGGCTCATATAAAATATGTTGGAGCAGCAAGGCGATCGAGTGCCTTTATGTCAAATTCAATTAGTTTAAAATCATTCAGTTGGCCTATCCTTTTATGTGTTGAAAAATAAATAAACAATCTCAGGGGGATAATTGTGGCTGTCAATTACAGTGTCTGTTTCGATATTACCTTTGGGGGAATCCAAAATATTTTTCTATATTTAGTAACACTAATGGGTAGAAAAAATGTCTAAAGGAAGCTGGGTTTTCCTGCTGTGACTGGTTGAGAGTTCCTAAAGTCTTATGGTGTAAAGACTGCACAATATGTTGTTTCAGGATCAACGTGCTCATTTCAATAGTGGGTTTTTGGCAAACTCAAAGACGTCATGCTACAAATTTAGCTGCCAAAAGGAAAGCTTGCAAGGTTCCGATTTTCCAAGACCAATCCAGTGTTTACCATTAATTACAGCTTTCTCATTAGTGGAATGCTGTGCCACAGCATTCCACTATAGTTCTTCAAATCTTTATTATTGCGAATACTTTTAAAAAATATTTAGTGCGAATACTTTTTCAAAATATTTTATACTTTTCAAAATATTCAGCTTTTTAAACTCTTTTTTTATTTAACATGGAACTCAATGGGAGGAACCTTCAAATCCTCTTTTAACTACACCGTGTGCCAAATGCTACTCCTTCCACATACTTTCAGCTAGAGATATCTTTTACACTTTTTGAGATATTTAACTTAGTTTTGTAAAGAGGCGTTCTTCAGATTCTCAGCAGCTCGTTAAGTCTAGAGTACTTTGATCTCAAAACAGAGTGGAGGACAGCTTTAAATTCGCCCCAATTTTTTTTGTTTAACATGCCATCATTCCCAAACCCTACACTCCTTGGACATAATTGTTCACGAAAAACGTAGGAAAACCTCTCCTAGGTTTGAAAATAAAAAAAATTAAGCTAAATCATTAAACAAAATGCCTCTTGAGGGCATGAAGTGACAACAACTTTCAACATGTCTCCATTAAGGCCTATTTATTCACAGCAGCAGCCGCACACCTTTAGTTAATCTGCCAAAAAGGCCACATTATTGACCGAAAGTACACAAAAAGCACACTCAGACGCTCGTCATGATCCTGAGACGCTTCACGCGTTGAAATTTCACTGATATCTGCTACGGTTCTTCAACAAAACGTTCAGATGTAAAAGGTTTATCTCTCGTTCAGACCAATGGAAAGGCTCTCCTCTCACCGATCACTGCACTTCACCATGGAAACCTTTGATCTCTGGGCTCACACAGGTGTTATGATTATTTGTTATGATTAGGTGCTCAGTACAGAAACAAACACTGACAAACACACTGGACTTTAACAGACTGTCTCAGCCTATTCTTTTCGGTCTGATGGAGACTTCATACTGACTTCTACATGTTCCACATATTTTAGACATTATTGGTAACGTATGGTTTTAGTCGAAAAGTTTGCTGTCAAAATATTCTGGTGCTGTCCCAAGCCTTTTTACTAATACATATTCATTCACTACTACTTACATCTGATATTTAACTCCTTCAGTCTATTTTCAGCTGCAGAAACCATTCAACTATTACATTATTCAGCTCGGACATCAAGGCTATACATGTTGTTGTTTATACATTTTTTAAAGCTTTTCTTTTAAATATTAAGCTTTTTCTGGGTCATTCCAGAATTGGAGGACAATTTAGACACCAACATTTTTGAAAAATGAACCTTTTATTTTATAATCTTTTTTTATGTATTTAGGAAAAACAGATAATAAACCATCAAAAAAAGTGATTTGCCCAGCTCGGCATCAAATGTATATTTTCCAATGAAGAATTACCCCTGTTACTCTACTGTAAGTATAGTAACAGGGTTGAAAGTAACAGGGTTGAAAATCAATGCTAATTTGAGC